GAACTCATAAATTATTAATAAAATATATAAAAATGCAATATTTTTGGGCTCGACTCAGTAGTTAGCCCATTTTGACTATTAGGTTCGAGTCAACAAGTTGAACCGATTCACTCGATCGGTTCAACCAATCAACTAAAGTCAACTAGAAAATTTTTTTTTGGGCATTTTTATTGAATTTTACTTTTATATGTTACTTTCACTTGAAAACGATTTGTTCTATTTTGAGCAGAACAGATGAGGTAGATGAAGACGATCGGTAGAAGAGAAGAAGTGCAGCGACGGAGGAGAAGATCGATGGAAGAGAAGATCGACGGACGATCGATGAAAGAGAAGATAAGTGGACAATCGACGGACGATCGACGAACGAGAAGATGATGAAAATTTCAACTTGACCAATTGTAGCGTGTTGCACGAGTTCAACCGACGTGATGGGTGTGACGGGTTTCAGCGGGCTTCAATAGACCATTTACTTAAACAGGTTGAAGTCTTCAACTGACCCGTTTTCAAGTTCAGATCCAATTGAATCGGTTCAACCAGTTATACCAGATCAAGTCTAAAAACATTGTAAAAATGTGTATTTTCATCTACTACGTTGTTAAAGAGAACAGTTTGGTTTTTAAAATTACAAAAGTATGCTTAATAAATTTTCTTTAGATATTAATTTATCAATAGTGCTTTGGTCATTTCATCAAAAAGTAAGAACTCGAAAATATAATTTCAAAACAAACAATAAATCTAATCAGATTTTCAAGATCCATTTTGAGATTGTTACATGTGGAGGATAAAAACATAAGAGTTCGGTGTACAAATTCTTTTTGATGCGTTCGATGTACAAAAGTTTGATCGGTCAATTGATGTATATATATATTTTATGAATATATATATTAAAGTAAAATTTTACTTATATAAAAATTTTATATATTATATTTATATAAAATTTTCATTATTTTTTATTTTAAATAATTTATTTTTATTTATTAAAAATAATTATTTTTTTAATAAATTAGTATCAATCTTGATCATTAAAAGTAAATAATAAATAATTAAAACTTTATGTTAATATAACAAATAAAATTTATGTATATAAACAAATTCCCTCCTTATATACATACAGCATAAGCTCCACTCTTCTCAACTTGATTTTTAAAAAGCTTGTTCTTCCTTTTTTTTTGGTAGAGCGTGCTTGACGGCACAAGCATGCAATATTATATTATACTTTAACTTCTTTTAACAATAATTTTGAGAAAATGACAACGTTTCGAATGTATTTTAAAGTGCACGAAACAAGGAACAAGGATTATTGGGAAAAAACACATGGACTAGGACTAATATTTGCATATGGCTGGTCTAAAACTCACAATCTAATTGTCGTGATGCTTCACTTTTTATCATTAGTTCCAAAACCTCGTTGGCACAATAAAGGAGTCGGTGTGAAAACTAATAATTAACTCAATTTAAATAATTAATGAATCTTACAGAATCAAATTTTTGAATTTTTAATTAAAAATATTAGGTGGCGACATGACACCTACGATTTATTATAAAAAAAATTTTAATTTATATTTTTAATATATAAGTTAATAATACATTAAATATATATTTTTATTTTAAATATATATAAAAAATATAAAAATTAATATTAATTTAATATAATATGAATTTAATTAAATAATTAATAAATTAAAGATTAATTTTTATTATTTTAATATAAATTTATAACAAAAAATATTTTATATATCATTAAAAATATAAATTAAACAAATCTATTATCATATTCGAAAAGAAAGGCATGTTTCATGTTATTGCCACGGCAACGGCGGTGGTGTTTGCTACGCACTTGGTGACGCGCGTTGTTGCTTAAACGACCGGGGAATGGGGGATGAGGAAAAACCGCTAACTGCCAGGAAGAAGGGTCGCAGATAATGTCAGAGGTTGTCTGTCCGAAACTAAAAGTGGGACCCGAACTAGGGGGAGAGCAGAAAACACGTGGATGTGTCAGAGGCTTTTTAGTCATTTTGATTCGGTTAAATTTGCCTTTTTCAATTAATGATTCGATGTCATTTCGCCACGTAGACCTAAGTACGTAACCCATTACATAACGACGTTTAATTTTAATTTTTAATTTTTAATAATAATGTTATAGAGGTAATTTTTTAATATTATTTTTTATATAATTTTTATTTATTATTAAATAAATTGATATATTTAATACCATAAATTTAACATAAATTTAAAAAATTAATAATTTAAATAACACATTTAATTATATAAAAAATAAAATAAAATAATTATACAAAAACTATTCCTCAATTTTCAAAGGGTTTTGTCTTATTTTGGATTTTCTTACTTCTCTTGCTGACGTAACTACTGGAATAGATTATCCCATGTAACCTTGCATAATATTCATTTCCATGAATGCTTTTTTTCTTCTTTTTTTCTTTCCTTATTTATTGGCATTTAAATAATTGAAAATTTATTTTCATGTTCCTCAATTTAAAATTTCTCCATTTCCAAGTTTTTGATCATGTAAAGAAATAAAATTTTTATTCCAATTCTATATATGATCTTAATATAAATATTAAAATTTGGCCTTTTCTAGTAGAATAAATTTGATTGACTTTCAATCACTTGCATTTTTCTTGTTTTAGATATTTTCCACGGGAAAAAAGATACCACTTTGAACTTTGTTATAGTGGAAATCTATAGCAAGAAACACGTTGATGGAAAATTAACCTTGTTACTTTAATTTTCTTGGATATATAGGCATTTTGTTTTCGAATTTAATTTAAGAAATTAAACTTTCAATCAATCCATTGGTTTACTTATGTAAGTTTTATTTAATTCCTTCACCTATATATGTAACAACATATAGATAACATCTAAATTATGAAAATGATCGACGGAGGCTTTAAATATATATATATATATATATAATGGTGGAGGCTTACTAGCAACAAAATCTTATCTTATAATAAAATATAAATCTAGTAATTCTCAATTCTCCTTTATTTAATAGTGTATATAAATTGGTTTACATTCATCACATTTAAATATCTAATCACTTTACGGATTTATGCACCACTCTAAGTGTACTGTTAGTCTCCATCAAAGATAAAATTATGCTTACAGAATATAAATAATTTTCTTTAGAGAAATTAAAATAAATTTTTAAGAAAAAAATTAAGTATTGTAATTTTTTTTAAAATTTATTATCTTTTCAAAAAAAAAAAAGAGAAAAAGATCATAAAGTTTTTTCTTTTTTAAATTATAATAAGATTATATAGGGAAATGGTTTTTGTACAATATTTTTTATCTTATTTTTTTTGTACAACTTGACGTGTAATTAAAATAATTAATTATTTTAATTTATATAAAACTCATAATTTTAAATACATCTACTTATTTAATAATTTAAAAAATTATATAAAAATATAATATAAAAATATTATCGCTATAACACTACCCACCTTCTATATAGGTTAAATGCTTAATTTGGTCCCTCAACTTTATGAAATGAACATTTTTGGTCACAACAACAATTTTTTGCACTTTTTTGATCCCTCAACTATACGAAATACACTTCGTTAGTTCTTCTATTAATTTCAATCGTTAACTCGCTTATGTGGCATTTTTTATAATTTTTTTGATGATGTGGCAAAAACAAATTGAAAACGTGTTGATGTGGATTTTTTTTTCATACCAACTCACATTATTACTATTTATATTTTAAAAAAATAAAATAAAAAAACTCACGTTCATCTTTTTCCTTTCTCTTTTTCTTTTTTTTCCTTCCTCTTCTTTCTTCCTCTTCTTCCTCGGGTCATTGAACCCAGTTGCTGGGTTCGACTGAACCCAGTTGCTGGGTTCGACGGAACCCAGGCTGGGTTCGACCAAACCCAGAACCCAGCTCCATTTTTTTTTTCTTTGTTTATATGATTGTTTGCCAAGAGATTATCCGAATTGCAAGTTGTTGTGAGGGATTTTTGGGCAATTAGTTTTTTTTTTTTTTGGTTATATGGTTGTTTGCCAAGAGATTATCCAAATTGCAGGGATTTTTGGGCAATTGAGTTCAATAAATCGAGCTGAGTTCGATGGAATGTATTTGCTAGGTTTTGTTCTGTCAAACTTCAATCTTGAAAATGGAAAGAACACCATTTATGAAAAGAATAGAAACAGTAACCAATGGGGAAATAAGCAATTCTTAGTAGTGATGTGGGACCCATTTGGATGGAATTGGTGTGTTTTCGTAGGGTAACATGTGACATGGCAAAAGTTTTATGCAAATCATCACCTTTTTAAGTTTTGCTCTCCACATCATCAAAAAAAATATAAAAAATGCCACCTAAGCAGGGTTAACGACCCAAACTAACAGAAGGACTAACGGAGTGCATTTCGTATAATTGAGGGATCAAAAAAGTGCAAAAAATTGTTAAGGGATAAAAAATGTGTAACTCATTAAAGTTGAGGGACCAAATTTAACATTTAACCTTCTATATAATATGAGATCTTTATTATGAAAAAGTTTTAATTATTGTAGTGTCCAATAAAGAACAATAGCTTAAAGGTTATGACAGATAACGATGTATTAATTATCCCCGGACCTTTTATCAAGCACGTGAACCTCTCTACTCGACACGTGCCATCACCCTCACCAAAGGTTGAATATTAATTTTGGGTCCCTTAATTTTAGATTTTTGTATAATTTTTATCTTTTAATTATTTTTATGTATTTTTTAATTTGTTAATCATAAAAAATATATTTTTAATTTTTTTATCAATTAATCAATTAAATATGTTTCGTACATAAATATTTTTAAT